TTGACCAACTTGATTTACACAACAAAATCAGTGAGGTCATTATCAAAACAAGGTCACCTCTAGCCTCGCTGCCATTCAGAGGCCAGGTCACTGAGCAGACGGCTTTAAAATGGTCTATTCTCCCGCGGGGTACGATGTATTTCCCATCATAATCAAAATCAAACCAACGGGTGTTGAAGAAAAAGGTGTACACCTGCTGTCCAAAAGGAGCAAATATAGAACACACCTGATAAACTAATGATGATAGAAAGAAAGCCGGTAACCCAGAACACATTAAAGGAATCGGTAGAAATTCCAAAGAAAAACTCAAAACTGTTTCAAGTTTCCAGACAGTTGATGTAGTTAATGAAACACTTTTTCATGATCTCCCAAATGTATCACAAGTAACATTCGGTAGTGATAGGTTACATGTACAAAAGAACAAAGATATTAATGCAATGTCCAGGATCAATTTGTTTCACTAAAACATTGCACTTGGCCCAGAATATGTATGCACTTGTTGTTGATCAGTTGTGGTACAAGTCCTCTGTTGTGAAATGTGATGTAAATAGATACAAGGCATGCTCACAAGATGTGGTCAAGTCCTGTCTTACTGGTTTTAATGTGTTAATGACTCTGAATGAATTTGTATAACTTGTGATTCAAATCTGAGGAAAGGCAAGTTGCCCCCAGCTGTTGTAAAGCCAATAAAATGGGGTTTCCTGACAAGCCTGAAGTATTAAATTTGACGTCTTTAGAAGAGTGACCAATATCACCACGTATACCTTTTATGCAACTCCGTGAACTACCTAGAGGTGGTCAATTGTCTATTCATGGAAACATTGGAAATGTCCCAAGTGATGTCAATTCCACTCTACATTGTCTCCCAAGGCCACTAAGTAAATCACAAACTATTCCTGTAAAACTTAAAAGGCGTCTCAGTTATAGGCACCATTATCAGTTTCAGAATGTTAGACCTAAGAGAGTATTAGATGCAGCCAAATATCTTGTAGACACAAGTGAGACCCTGTCGGAGGTAAATTCCGACAGGCGACATGGCCTTGAAACGGCGACATGAGAGCTATGAATTGGCGACGAGCGACAGACTACTCCAGCGAAATAGGGAAAGCGACACCAATGGCAAGATAGACCTACAACGAATTTCGGAACTGAGAATGCAGTGATTGTTTCAAACGTCTGAGTCGAAGTGAAGACGCATTTTCAGAGTTTTAAATGTGTTTTCCTCTCTCACGTGCGATGTCGACGGGTCGTGAAACCCAGGCTTTCTTATATATGCTAAAACGTCTAACGTCGAATAAATCGAGTCCGTCATTGCTGAGTATATTTCTCACTCTCAGCTGAGTGAGCAGTGCCCTAAAACGCCTAAAGACACGCTTAAGGAAAAAGGAAAGAGATCTTCGAAAGTCTACTTCATATTTTTATCAGTGGGTCACCAGTAAAAGAATATGAAAATGTATCATCAACAAATGGCATTATGGAAGGAAAAGAGAGACAGTGGAAAGCTGCCAAGGTCTTCTCGTCTTCAGCAGAAAGTAAGGGTTACGCCAAATTCTAAGGAAGATTATAGATAGGAGAGATTATCTGATTGAGGCCGTTGAAATTTTGACTTAAAGAACGGTTGTTAAACATAAACATGGTAAAAATAGTCATAGGTTCGATGGTACTTTAGGTCCAAAT